ATGTGCAATATTTCTAAGCAAAGCTTAGTAGAGTGCATTTTCAAGTTGGTTTTCTCCATATTAAGTTTTTAGATTGGCAGTCATTTTCAGGTTCATTCAGTGCTCAGAAAGGGGTGTATTATTGAAATAAAAAGAAAAAAAAGGAAAAGAAGAGTGAAAGCTGGGACAAAGCTTAGTGGTAAAGAACTGACCTGGCATTTTTAAGGTCCTGGGTTCAATAGCAGATTCCTTTCCCCTTAGTTGGGTAAATATCTTAAGTACACATTATTTTATTGTTGCTGTTGTTATGAAGTAGTAAAAATAATTGCTTAAAACAATAAAAAAAATTATTCTCAGGTGCACCTACAACTTTCACTCTCAAAATTCATATTTTTGTTAATTCTCTTTATTATTTAAAAAATTTAATTCATTTTGTATACCAACCAGAGTTTCCTATCCCACCCCTCCTCCCACTTCCTCTTGTTCCCCCCACAAGTCACTCCCCTCCAGCCTCATCCAGCCTCAAAAAGGGTAAGGCCTCCATGGGGAGTCAACAAAACCTGGCACATATACCTGAGTCAGGACCTAGACCTTCCCTGCTGCATTAAGACTGAGTAAGGCATCCCTTCATAGGGAATGGACTCCAAAATGTGAGCTCATGAAACAGGGATAGATCCTGAACCCACTGTCAGGGGCCCCTCAAACAGACCAAAGTTCACAACTGTCAGCCAGATGTAGAGGGTCTAGTTCAGTCCCATGCAGGCTTCCCAGCTGTTGACTTAGAATTTATGAGTCCCCAGTGAGTACAGCTGTCTTTGTGGATTTCCTCATCATGATCTTTATCCCTCTTGCTTATATAATTTCTCCTCCCTCTCTTTGCCTTGACTCCTGGAGTTTGACCTAGTCCTTGGCTGTGGAAGCATCTGCTCCTAGCAGTTAATGGATAAAAGGCTTTATGATGCCAATTAGGGTTATCACCAATCTGATTACAGGGCAAGGCCAGTTCAGGCCCCCTCTCCACCATTGCTAGGAATCTTCACTGGGGTCATCCTTGTGGATTCCTGGGGATTTTCCTAGCACTATGTTTCTCCCTAACTCCATAATGGCTCATTTTTCCAAGACAGCTCTTTCATTGCTCTCCCACTCCACCCCTCGCCCAACTGGCCCATACTGTTCCCTCATGTTCTCATCCCCCATTCCCTCCCCCTACCACCCCCTGCCCTAGATTACCCAGGAGATCTCATATATTTCCCTTTTCCAGGGTGAGTCATGAATACCTCTAAGTTCCTCCTCTTTACCTAGCTTCTCTGGAGCTGTGGATTATAGTCTGTGGACTGCATTACATCTAGTATCCACTTATGAGTGAGTATGTACTATGTTTGTCTTTCTGAGTCTGCATTACCTCTCCCCGGATATTTTTCCTAGTTCCATTCATTTGCCTGCAAATTCCATGATGTCATTGATTTTATCTACTGATAACATGAAATTTAAAAGTTTTTGTCTTGCAAGAAAATATACACTGTGATAAAATACAACCCACAAATGGAAAAAAATCTTTGTCAGATATACTTCAGACTGTTGATTCATATTGAGAATATATTAAAAAATACAAAATTAAATACCTTAAATTCAAAAATTAAGATATTAAATGAGATAATGAACCTAAAAGATAGACCTCAGATGAAGAAATAAAAATAGTCAATTAAACCTAAAATTGTATTGATATCCATATTTGTATCTAATGTGTTTTGATCAAATCCACTCCAACATTCTCTCCTCTTCAACTCTTCAACCATCTGCTACTTTTCCTCCCCAATTTCATGTGTTACCTTATTTTTTCAAATATACATTGTTCTGCCTCTGTATGCATTGGTGTGGGAGCATGGGAACCCCCTCAGAGCCCATATTCCTGACAATATTGACTCTCTCACAGCAGCCACCAACTGCTAATAGCTTCTCACAAGGAGAGAGGACATCACGAGCTCCTCCCCACCACACTGAGAGGTCAGTTGCCTTGGTTTTGTCCAGGACACCCACAAGTAATCCCAGACATTGTGACTTCATGTGTGCAACTGCATTGTTGTATCCTGCAACAAATACTGTGTTACTGCAGACAACTCCTTCTCTGGCTCTGACATTGTCTGTGTCCTTTCTTCTACAGTGTTTCTGAGTTTTGTGAGGAGGTGAAATACAGATGCACCATTTATAGATGAACACTCCTCATTCTTTCATTCACTGCATAGTGATTGGTTATAGATCTCTAAATCAACCTGCATCAACTAGAACTTTCTCTACTGAGGGTTGAGAGATGCATTAATTAATTACTTAATACATCTTTGTAAAGATAAGAGGTCAGGGATCAGTTTATTACCATGTTGATTCAGCAGACCAAACACTAACCAAAACCAACTTAGGGAAGAAACAGTTCATTTGGCTTAAAGTTCCTGATCACAGAGCATCGCTGAGTGAACTAAGGATTTTTTGGCCAATGAAAAATACCAGGTATGGGTTCCATATTGTAAAATGAGTGTTAAGCACAATCAGAGAGCTGTTGGTTGTTGTCAAAACAGTGCTGCCATTGAACAGTGAGCATATCTGACCAAGCTGGTTTTATATAGCTCACAGTGTTCATAGTGGGGCAAGGCTGTTTTATTTTTCTCCCTCTATATCATTCACAGCATCTTCTAGTACTGTGAAAGTTAGTCAATAGCAATGCTTCCACAATGTCAGTACCAGATTGATTTCTAATGTAATTAAGACTCAAGTTCCTTGTTAGCTCCTTAATCGCTCCCTCAATCAAGATATCTCTTTCCTTTTCAACCTCTCTGTCCCCCACACTTCTTGATCATCTCATTCCTTCATGTTCTCCTCTTCCCTCCCCTTCTTCCCTCTTCCTATCCTTCCACCCTTCCTTTCACCTCTCCCACTCAAATTTCTCAAGAGATCTTGTCTGTTTCCTGTTCCCAGGGGGATCCATATATGTCTCTCTTAGGCTTAGGGTTTTCCTTGTTACCTAGCTTCTCTGGGATCATGAATTATAGGCTGGTTATCCTTTGTCTTAGGTCTAATATCCACTTATGAATGAGTACACACCAGTTTTGTGTTTGTCTATCTGGGTCTGGGTTAACTTATTCAGGATTTTTTTTCATGATCCATCTGCATGCAAAATTCATGATATCATTTTTTTAACCACTGAGTAGTACTCCATTGGGTAAATGTACCAAATTTTCTTTATCCATTATTAGGTTGAGTGCATCTAGGTTGTTTCCAGGTTCTGGCTATTACGAATAATGTTGCTATGAACACAGTTGAGCAAAAGTTCTTGTGGTATAAGTGTGCATCCTTAGAGTCTAAGCCTAAGAGTGGCATTGCTGGATTATGAGACAGATTGATTCCCAATTTTCTGAGAAACTGCTACATTGATTTCCAAAGTGGCCGTACAAGTTTGTACTCCCACTAGCAATGAAAGAGTATTCCCCCTTGCTCCATATTCTTTCCAGCATAAGCTATTTTTGATGATAGTCATTCTTACTGGTGCAAGATGGTAAGATGGTATCTCAAACATGACACTAGGGAAATTCTCAGGAATCTACAAGGATGACCCCAGCTAATACTTTAAGCAACAAACAACAGTGGAGAGGATGGCTACACTGGCCTACTCCTGTAATCGAATTGATGACTACCTCTTTTTTTTTTGAGAAAAGCCAGCATAAAGCACTTTTATTGCAATAATAAAATTTGAAACGCATATGTGGTGCAGAGGGCAGGGGACGAAAATGTACTTTCTCTCACCAAATCATTACATAAGACAGCAGAGGGTGAGAAGGAACTAAAGGAGGAAAAGCCAGGAAGCCAAAATTAACAGAGAGAGCCGAGCATCAGCATCCAGGAGATGCTGAAACTATGATGACCAGCATCATCTTCTTAGAGAACACTCAAGGATTTGTAGTGACGACTGGGTGTCCATTGGGTGGTGAGTCTAATAACAGCACCTTCAATTTAAACTTCCATTAAAGTTCTTAAAATTTAGGAAGTAGAATTTGGATAGTTACAAGATTACAAACATCCGCTGCCCCTATGCTGAGAAGATCCAGAATGGTGACTGAGTAGCCACCTGGCCTTTCAGTCCTGGGAAAAGGAGTCCAGGCTTGCTCCAATTCCCTAAACATTTCTGGCCATCCAGTGGGGCATGTTCCCGGCTACTGGATTTCATTACCTCATCCCATCTTGCCTCCAAGCACTCCTTTTCATCAGCGGGATTCATGGATTCCCCCAACTCATCCTGCTTCGAGGCTCAGGTGTCTGGGGAGCCAGCAGTGAGTAGTCCTGACACTGGGGCTTCTTTGTACCACACCACCCTGCCCCACAAGCCCGCCTTTTTGTCTGTGAAGTACCTGGAGCCCAGCAAGTGGCCCTGCTCCTGTGCTGAGGAGATCCGGAGTGGTGAGTGAGTGGCTGCCCTACAGGATGGTCCTGGAGAATGGAGTACAGGACCCCTCCAATTCCCTAAACATTTCTGGCCATTCCACAAGGCGTCTCCCCAGCTACTGGCTTTCTTTATTTACCCCATCCCACCTTGCCCCCAACCACTCCTTTTCATCTGCATGGTCCTTAGATCTCCCAGCACAAACTGCATCAAGGCAGAGGGTATCTGAGAGTCAGCTCCATTGCTGAGAGAACCTAAGAGAGGGCAGAGTAAGTAAAACCCCCAAGTAGACAGCCACAGCGAAGATTGGACCAAGACTCCAAGACTCTCCTGGTCTCATTTGAAGGAAGAGGTGGGCAGGCGCCAATGCAAGAATTCCTCCAACAACCTGAAAAGCAGCACGGTAACACCAGAATCCAGCGAACACACAACAAGAAGACTTGAACATCCTAACCCAAAGGAAGAAGACAAAATCGACTTTAAACATAACCTTATGAAAATGATGGAGACCCTTAAACAGGAAGTGAAAAACTCTCTTAAAGAAACGGAGGAGAGATATTGAACTTGAGTTGGAAGAGGCGAGTCTGATATCAAAATGGAGGACCATGATCCAAAAGAACCAGTACAGTTGAGGAAACTGTTTATTGGTGGTCTGAGCTTTGAAACCACAGATGATAGCTTAAGAGAACATTTTGAGAAATGGGGCACACTTAAGAACTTTGTGATAATGAAAGATCCCCAAACAAAACTTTCCAGGAGCTTTGGTTTTGTGACCTACTCTTGTGTTGAACAGGTGGATGCTGCAATGTGTGCTCAGCCACACAAAGTTGATAAACATGTGCTGGAACCAAAGAGATCTATTTCTAAAGAGAAATATGTAAAGCCTGGTGTCCATTTAACAGTGAAGAAAATATTTGTTGGTGGTGTTAAAGAACATACAGAAGAGTATAACCTGAGATACTACTTTGAAAAGTATGGCAAGATTGAAACCATAGAAGTTATGGAAGACAGGCAGAGTGGGAAAAACAGAGGATTTGCTTTTGTGACTTTTGATGACCATGACACAGTTGATAAGATTTTTGTTCAGAAATACCACACTATTAATGAACATAATTGTGAAGTGAAAATGGCTCTTTCTAAACAAGAGATGCAGTCTGCTGGATCACAGAACGTGGAGGTGGATCTGGTAATTTTACAGATCGTAGAGTGAACTTTGGAGGTGGTAGAAGTAATTTTGGTCATGGTGGATACTTTGGTGGAAGAGGAGGCTATGATGGTGGAGGTGGTGGAAGCAGAGGTAGTTATGGAAGTTGTGATGGTGGATATAATGGACTTGGAGGTGATGGTGGCAACCATCACTTAATATCAATGGACTCAGTTCACCTATAAAAAGGCACAGGTTAAGAGAATGATACAAAAATAGGATCTAACATTCTGCTGTTTACAAGAAACACACCTCAACCTCAAAGACACATACTGCATCAGTGTAAAGGGTGGGGAAAAGGTTTTCCAATCAAATGGACCTAAGAAACAAGCAGGTGTGGTCATTCTAACAAAATTTGTTTCAAACTAAAATCAATCAGAAGAGATGGAGAAGGGCACTTTATACTCATAACAGGAACAATTACTCAGGTTGAAGTCTCAATCCTAAATATCTACGCCCCTAATATAAAAGAACCTACATATGTAAAAGAAACATTACTAAAACTCAAAGCACAAATCAAACACCACACACTAATAGTACGAGATTTCAACACTTCTCTCTCACCAATGGATAGGTAAACCAGACAGAAACTTAATAGAGAAATAAGAGAACTAACAGATGTAATGAATCAAATGAACTTAACAGACATCTATAGAACATTCCACCCAAACAGGAAAGAATAAACCCTCATCTCAGCATCTCATGGAACCTTCTCAAAAATTGATCACATAATCGATAATAAAGCAAAAATCCACAGATACAAAAAATTGCAGTAACCACCTGTGTACTATCAGATCACCATGGAATAAAGTTAGAATTAAACAATAATACTACCTCCAGAAAGCCTACAAACTCATGGAAACTGAACAGTCAACTACTGATCCACCCCAGGGTCAAGGAAGAAAGAAGGAAAGAAAGAAATTAAAGTCTTCCTTGAATTCAACAGCAACAAAAAAAGACACAACATACCCAAACCTATGGGACACTATGAAAGTAGTGCTACGAGGAAAGTTCATAGCACTAAGTGCCAACATAAAGAAAATAGTGAAATCTCACATTTGAGACTTAACAGCACACCTAAAGCTCTAGAAAAAGTAAAAGCAGACTCCCCCAGCAGGAGTAGAAGACTGGAAATAATCAGAGTGAGGGCTGAAATCAACAAAATAGAAACAAAGAAAACAATTCAAAGAATCAATGAAACAAAGAGCTGATTCTTTGAGAAAATCAACAAGGTTGACAAACCTTTATCCAAACTAATCAAAAGGCAGAGAGAGAGAGAAAGAGAGAGAGAGAGAGAGAAATCATGCAAATTAATAAGATCAGAAATGAAAAGGGGGGCATAACAACAGACATTGAGAACATTAAGAGAATCATTAGGTTTTATTTCAAAAGCCTGCATGCCACAAAATTGGAAAATGTAAAAGAAATGGACATTTTTTAGATAAGTACTATATACCAAAATTAAATAAAGACCAGGAGAACAATTTAAATAGACCTATAAGTCGTGAGGAAATAAAAGCTGCCATAAAAAAAAACCTCCCAGCCAAAAAAAGACAAGGGCCAGATGGTTTTAATGCAGAATTCTATCAGAACTTCCAAGAAGAGCTAATACCTATACTCTTTAATGTGTTTCACATAATAGTAACAGAAGTCATTGCCAAACTCCTCTTATGAAGCTACAGTCACCCTGATAACAAAACCACACAAAGACTCAACCAAGAAAGAGAATTACAGACCAATCTCACTCATGAACATTGATGCAAAAATTCTCAATAATAAACTGGCAAACTGAATCCAAGAACACATCAAAAAAATTATCCATTATGATCATGTAGGCTTCATCCCAGAGAGACAGGGCTGCTTCAATATACAAAAAATCTATCAGTGTAATCCATCATACAAATAAGCTGAAATAAAAAAAAACATATGATCATTTCTTTAGATGCTGAAAAAGCATTTGACAAAATTGAACACCCCTTTATAATAAAGGTCTTGGAAAGATTAGGGATACAAAGCTCATACCTAAATATAATAAAAGCAATGCACAGCAAGCTGACAGCTAACATCAAATTAAATGGAGAGAAATGTAAAGCCATCCCACTAAAATCGGGAACAAGACAAGGCTATCCACTGTCTTCATACTTCTTCAATATAGTGCTTGAAGTTCGAGCAATAGCAATAAGACAACATAAGGAAATCAAGGGGATTTGAATTGCAAAGGAAGAAGTCAAACTTTCGTTATTTGCAGATGATATGATAGTATACATAACTGACACCAAAAACTCTACCAAAGAACTCCTACAGCTGATAAATACCTTCAGTGATGTGGCAGGATACATCATCAACTCAAAAAAATCAGTTGCCCTCCTTTACACAAATGATAAAGAAGCAGAGAGGGAAATCAGAGAGACATCACCTTTCATGATAGCCACAAATGTCATAAAGTATCTTGGGGTAACACTAACCAAGGAAGAGAAAGATCTATTTGACAAGAACTTTAAGGCTTTGAAGAAAGAAATTGAAGAGGACACCAGAAGATGGAAGGATCACCCATGCTCTTGGATTGGGAGGATCAACATAGAAGGCTTCAGAGGTCCCTGTGGACCTAGTGATAGAAACTGTAGTGTCTAACTCAACAGTGAAGGAACCTGCTTTACAAGGCAGACGGTTTCAGAAGGTGGGAGGACTGTCAAAACCTCTAAACAATTTTATCCTTCCTCTTCTACCTGTGTCCTTTTTACCTCCTTTCAAAGCTCACCCTCCTCGACCCTTGCTAGTTCTGTGCCTTCTATGGGCACTTCAATGTAAACACACCCATTTGAAGATTCAAAGCTAGCATCCACATAGGAGAGGGAACATGGGGAATTTGTTATATGACAGAGCTGTAAAAATAAAAACAGCATGATACCACTATAAAAGCAAACACATTGTTCAATGTAACAGACTAATAAATGCAGAGAATGCAGATATAATCCCACTCTTTTCAGCATCCTGATTCTTGAAAAAGAGGTCAAAAATAAACACTGGAGACATGATAACATCTTCAATAAAGGGTACTGACCATTAGCTTAATTCTAGTTAGAAGAATAAAATTAAATCTTCATCTCACCACTTCACAAAACTCAATCACACATGGATCAAGAACCTCAGCATCAATTCTAGATCCTAGTTTGCTTCTCTTGCTATGATAAAACACTGAATGAAACCAACTTGGGGAGGAATTAAATTACCTGTCTTCTGATCTGTTAGCAATCCATCACTGAGCAAATTTTGCATGAGCCTAGAGGTAGGAAATGAAGCAGAGTGTGGAACACATGTTGGCTTATTCTTCATTACTTGCTAAACTTGTGTTCTTATACAACCTATGGTCACTAGTCCAGGGGTGGCAAAGATATCTATGGGGCTGACATTTTTATATCAATCATTATCCAAGAAAATGCCCTTTAGACACACACCCACAAATCAATCTGATCGAGATAATTCTCATATTGAGATTCCTTCCTCCCATAAAACCTCAGTTTATGTGTGGTAGACAATATTTAACCAGCGTGATCTAATACTCTCAATTCAATAGAGAAGAAAGTAAGGAATACACTTGAACTTATAGAACCAAAAGAAGACTTTCTGAATAAGGACCATCACAGGCCATCACAGGCATTAACATCAAAATTAACCAATAGGACCTCAAGAGACTAAAAAGCTTCTGTATAGAAATGAATACCATGATGATGGTAAAGATGAAGAATGGAAAAAAATTTAACACCTTTATATCTGACAGAGGGTTACTATGTATAATATATAAACTCCCCAAAAGCTAAACACCAAGAAAACAATCTCAGTACAAATGTGGAGTTGAACTATACAGAGTTCTCAGAAGAAGAAATACAAATGGCCAAGTAATGTATTTTTTAACGTTCAATATCCATACCCTTAAGGAAAATACAAAGTAAGACTACTTTGGACTTCACTCTAAAACAACCAGAATGGCCAAGGTCAAAAACACAAATCACAGTAAATGCTGGTGAGAATTATGGAAAAGAAGAACACTTCTCCATTGTTTGGGCGTGTAAACTGTTGGAGCCACTCTAGGAATTAATGGGAATCTTCCTCAAAATGATAGGAAGAGATACAACACGTGCTCCCAAGATGTTGACGATGTCTGAGACATGAGGCATCTGACAAGGACTGCTGCTTACAGAGAGTAGAACAGGCATAAGCGAGAACTGGAGGTCTGGAGTCAAGAAACTCCTTAGTGACTGAAGCCTTATACAACAGAGACAGAGCTACAGGACTTGGGGTTTGCCCTGCTGGATTTCTGTCTTTCTTTGCCCTCACTATATCTCCCCGATCCTCTATTTTGAACTGGGAGCATATATCTGTGCCACTGCTAGAGATTTGTAATTATACTCTAAATTTTTTGTTATTTTTATTGTTGTTCATTGGATCAAAGTTCAGAGTTTGTTTTAAGTCTCAGAATTTACTTAGACTTTGGAGTTTTAACTAATGTTGATACTGTTAAATACTATGGATATTTTTGTGTTGGATTAATGGGTTTTGCATTATGATATGGCCATGAGCCTCTGGGTGTCGGAGTGGAAAACTGTGGTTTAAGTGAGAAATGACGCTTGGGATTGCATATTTGAATATAGGGAGGTGTAAAACTTCTAAGACATTGCTCATTTCTTCTCAGCCTATGTACATTTTCTGTATGAAGTATAACAGTGGAGTTGGACCTGATAGTTTGTACACCCATCTGTTTAGAGTTCACACTCTGTGTTTCTTGTATACAACTGAGATGTGGTCTCTCAGTTTATGGCTCCTGTTTCTACATACTGTGCTTCCCCACTGTCATTGACACTTAGATTTCCAGAACCTCAGTCAAAAAATCTTTTCCTTCTGTAAGCATCTTTTGGTTATTTTATTTTATCCCAAGAAAAGGAAATTACCTAATGTAATGAAAGTTAACATGTATGATAAAATGGTTTATAAAAGTTGAAATTTGGAAATGGTATATTGAGTAAGTGAGATGACTCAGTGGTTAAAGGCATCGAAGGACCCGAGTTTGGTCCACAAAACTCCTATGCTAGGTGAAACAGACTTTCACAAGTTATGCTCTGAACTTCCACATGTGTGCTTTGGCACACATATCCCCAACACACACACACACACACACACACACACACACACACACACACACA